TATTTAAGGATTTTGATAGATAGTTAGATGTTTTAAAAAAGACATATTCAATTATGACTTCAAAAACTTTTCTTATTTCTAGCAGAAATGTGTGAGACTGTACATTTTGGCATCGACCCAATATCAAGTAAATGCAGGGCCAGTATCACAATATTGATACCGATACTTTAAGTGTGATACTTCTGACTGATTTTTTAATTTAGTTAAAACTACAGAGAGAATTTAGATCAAGTTTATAGATGACTACAAAACACTAGAAGCACATTCACATGATGAAAACAACAGAAGAACAAAACAAAATTGTCTGATTTGATTCCTGAAGAAACTCAGTCCAAAGAATTATAATTTGAGAGCAAATAAAGCCAAACGTTTTTTCACGTGAAGTTGAGAGACTACAATGCAAAAATGACAAAAGTTCAAGGGGGAATCTGGGTCAACTTTGTCACATTAAATTGAGCCGATACCAATACAGACTGAGTTTCGATATTGCCGATATTTGGACCAATCCACCCACCTACAACTCTTAAAATAGTCACTCTGAATTTGAATATTTTTTTTTCTACTTCAAGAACCTCTTGCTCCATGAGTTTTAGAACCACTAAACCAAAAGTAGCACAAAAGGATTAAAACAACACCTATATTCTGCTGCTGCTTTAGACCCATTAACAATTACAAACCTCCATCTGCCTTCTGCCTCTCACCGCTTTTCCTGTTCTATAGTTAAACTAAAGCTATTTTGTCTCAGCAGCACTTTGAGCCAAGACCGACGTCAGATGCCCCAGATGTTGCACTCGCATTTCTCCAAGTCCCACCATATGTTCCTGGTCCGGAGCGGGGAGAAAGCAGGACCTACCAGGTTAGATATCCGCCACCTGATTTCAATTTCAGTGTGCTTTTGCCTTCGCACGCGCTCAATGAGAGGTGACGTTGGTCTCCCGCGCATGCTAATTATCTTATGTGCCCAACAGGCCCGCGTGCCAGTTTGGGTATGGAGCCCGTCCTGTGTGAATGTGAGATGTGTTGGAAACCGCAGACTATAATTTATACTCACAGGCGGCAGCATCAAGCCACACGCACACACACGCACACACAGGCATCCCTGACGAAGAGAGGCGTCGGCTCAGATAAAGGGGAATCGGCCTGTGCCGCCGCGCCACAAAAGGGTGTAAAAAGCGGCGCGCGGAGACAAGAGCGAGATGAGAGAAAAAGAGAGAGATGGACAGAGAGAGAGGGAGGGAGAGAGAGGCATAGAGGTTTTGTCCTCTGTTTCACCCCCTCCTCCCAGCTCGGTTCCTCGCAGCCTTGACGGCTCCACTTTATTGTGTCCTCAAAGCCAAGGCCCCTCAGGTAGGTGTTGCAGCTGTATGGAGACCAGAGCGCGCGCTCCGACTGTCCATCAAAACAATATGGCTCGTAAACATGACAGGTGCGTCCGCTTTATCTCGCCTGTTTAATTCGGTAGTTGTAGTTGTCGGTCAGTTTTGTGTTCAGATGTTCCTGTCTGTCTGTCGAGGGCTGAATTTCTTCTGGCAAAGATTTATTTGCTAATTCTAACCAGCAGGCGGGTGGTTCTGTCTGAGCAGTAGTGGCTTCTTCTTCCGGGTTACGAAAGTTCTCCAAGTTTTTTTGGTTGGATGTAGTGATTTCTACTTGCTCTTAAAAAAAAACTAGCAAAATTTATTTATTCTCATGGGAACAAATCTGGAAATCTAAAATATCTAAGGTTCACTAGTAATGGTAATTTTAAGTAGTTTGGTAAAGTATAATATTATGTATATTATATATATATATATATATATATATATATATATATATATATATATATAATATATGCTAATCCTTAACAAACTGCACATTGCTGACTATTTTGAGGCCACAGGCTAGAACCCTGGACTATTGATGCCACATTTTTCAACCTGAAACTTATAAAGCCACATGTTTTAATCAATAGATTTCAAAACTCTTACACATTTTGATGATAATGTGGGATAACATTTATATGTAATATAATGTTTAACTTGCAAACATCATATGGTTTTCTTTTGTTTCAATTATCAATAGATTTCCAAAATTTCTTAGGAAAGTGTCACGTTTTCAAACTTTTGCGATTTGAAAATGACCAACCAGAGACGGTTCCCTGCCATAAGAGTTCACACAATACATTTTCTTTGATTGCCAGGAAGCATGGGTCAGCATGAGATTACCACAGCTTGACAACCATGAGTAAACTAGTGGGGGAAGGGCAGCGCTGCACGACGCTATGATTCGAGAAGCCAGAGAAAACTTCAGTCGTTTCGTCATTGGCGTCGCTTTAAAAGAACTTTAAACTTTAGACATGCTCTCAAATTTGAAATCTAAATTTTAATCCCTTACTGTCGCCCTCAAAACGCTTAAATGCAAGTCAGGTGCCCAAAGAGGGTCCTGGGGGGCCGGCGTCCTGCGTGTTTTAGGTCTCTCCCTGGTTTAATGCACCTGGATCAAATGATGGCTCGTTAGAGGCCTCAGAAGAACACTGACATGCTGGTACCACCAGGGAGAGACCTGAACCATGCAGGATGCCGGCCCTCCAGGACCCACTGTGGGTACTTCTGATGTAAGTCAATCGGTTCATAAGGGCGCCGGCGTCTTCCTGATAGTTAAAGGAGTTCTGAGGTATCTTCATAAAAAGTCCATGACTTTCTGCAATGCAGGCATAACTAATCCAATACGAAAAAACGGTAGATGCACTTTGAGAGCATCTGCACACACATTTTATGCTGTCAATGTAAGATTTATTCGTACAGCAGATTTAAAAAATATATATAACCAGAAGTAGTTAAACCAATATAATGAGAGCCAATACAATCAGGTTACAAGTTAAAAGTTGTTCCAAGCAATGATTTGAAAATTTCTCTGTTCTGAGTTATGAGCTCATGAATTGATAGAACAAGGGTGGGCAATTTGGACTGAGAGCTTTATCGCGATCTAATAGCAATGCTATTGTGACAACAATAAAAATTATGATGAAAAGCTATTTATTGCTGTATGGCACAACATCATAGCTCCACAAAAAGATACTGTTCTCCAAAACAGATTCCATTTGAAACAGACTTTTACATGATGCTACTAACTTAAAGAAGTGTGGTTGGCATCACTAAGCTACACATAGTAACTCCATTTAGTTGCATTTTCAAATTTAGTGATATTTATTGATGCGAACAGCAGGGAAAACATTAAAAATAACATTTACAACAGAATCACTTGTTTTTTTAATCACTACTTGAACTTTATCGTGACAACGATAAATCAAAACCCTCATGATAAATGATAAACAATACGATAAATGTCCAGCTCCTATGACAGAGTATTCCCTAACGTTGGACTCTCGAAGAGAGACCCGAGTTTTCTCACTGGTGTGTGGATGTAGCAGAGATAATTTAAATAGGGTTGGAGACAAACTACTCAAAGCTTTGAAATCAAGTGATAAAATTTACAAACTCAATTTGGGATGGGATGAGAAACCAGCAAAGAGAAGCCAAGACTGACGTGATGCGTTCACAGTGGTCCAGTTGTGATGTGATAAAAGCATCAATAACTCTTTCCAGCTCTTTAGCAGGTAAATAGGGCTCAACCTTGGCAACAACTCGCAGATGGAGGAAATTTCACATCACATTCTTAAGACCTGGCCTGTCATTTGTCTAATCTGACAAGAACACCACACAGAGCATGATTCCTTTGAGATAGCAGGGTCTGTATGCGAACACTGCTGATATGCTGAGTAAATATTTATTCCAGATCTTTTATCTGCGACATGAAGCAATTCCAGAAGCTGCCTGACCAGCGTCGGCGTAAATTGTTTTCTTTGTTTCTCTCTTTTTTTCTTTCCGGAGACCTGTATCCTGGATTTTTTTTTTTTCTTCTGAAGTGAAAAGCTACCTTCCCGTTCACCTTTTGCTCTAATGGACGTTGTGTCATTGAGTTACCGCCATGGTATTTGTTCATATTTCATGCATTCTTGTCGATTCCAAACATCAACTCTGACTTAAAAGAGGAGATTCAAATCATAATGTACCAAATCACCCTCAGAAAACCAAGATTATCAACAAAAATAAACTTTTTTTATTTGATGCAACCCATAAATAGTGAAAAGTACTTTTTAAGTTCAATTACAGCGATTTAGCAAAATGTCACAAATGTACGTGTTTTCAGATAACCCAGAACCATTTTAAACGGAACTGTTATCATAGATTTTCCAAACAGACCTCTTCCTCCTAGTTATTTATGTATTTTCTTTATTTTTTGTCTTTTCAAACAGAAGAAATTGGATATTTCAGCCACACTTTTCTAATTAGGATTAAAAAAAAAACCTGTCTGAATCCCTGCATATCCTGCACCGGTTAACTTCTTTGCTGATGACATGGTCGTATTTAGAGCAGAAAATTAGTAACTTTGGAAAGCAAAGCTTCAGCAATATGTAGTTTATTGCTGCTTTTCATCAAAGAAAAGTGTTTCTTTATACGTAATGATGGCCACAAGTGCATTTTTTAGGCATTGTCCCAAAATTAAATGCTTTTTTAAAAAAATTTTTGATCAAATTTGTGGTTTTGACAATTAGCCAAAATACTTGTTTTTTGACTTTGATTTGTTAGCCGGGTATCTTGATTCCAACTGAATAGCAAGTATTCACTGATAAGCACTAAGATAAATTAACAAAAGTCTCCTTTTATTAAAAACCAACAAAATGCCTGGTGTGTGCCTGAGTCAAATTAAGGTCTTGGCTGTATTTCTGAACACAAAAACAAGTAGCTAACAGAAACTAGCCTGATATCCAAAAGCACTTTCATTGGACTGCGTCCACAACACCAGCACAACAAACCATTTATATCATGTCTTCCTGTCTTTCTTCTTCACTGATAATGTCAAGTTTTTGATACAGATCTTCAACCTGGATATGGATCGTGTTTGCCTGAGGTCGGATAAAAAGCGTGTGAAAATGAGTGAAAGAATTTTTCCCTTCCTACCTCCGTAGTAACCGTAGGGCCCAGGTCCTAAAATGTCCGGATCCTCCAGCCTGCCTCCTAGAGGCCTCATCCTCCTGGGGCCCCTGAAGAAGGCGTGGCGTCGGGCCCCCAAGGCGCTCAGCTGCTTCATTCGCCGCTCTTTGGATCTTCTGTTCTGGAACCAAACCTTCAAACAGCAACAACAAAAACAATGTCAGAGCTGATCAGTGGCTGTTTTTCCTGCAGCTTTTTAGCTTTTCATCTGGATTCTGTTTCTGAAACTCTCACGCACTTCTAAGATCCACCTGATCGCATCTTTCGCAGAAAAAGTAGACGATGCACAACTTCACTTTTTTTTTCTTTCTTTCTGTCTTTGTGGTACGGATCCATCTCATTTTTTGAGCTCTCTTTTGCAGAGTTTGCACTGAAAGCCGTCATCCCCATCAGCCTTGACTTTCACTCAAGTTTCTTCCTTCCTTGAAAAGCTCCGTATTCAAAACGGCAAAGGAGTGTTTTTGAAAAATAAAGGAAGGATTCACTTCTGACCTGTTTGGATTCCGTTTTAAAACACCTTTGCCCCCATTTGCACGAGTGTTTGTGCTTTCTTTTGTGATGCTTAAGTTTTTTGATCTATGAATTAACATGGTTCAAGAAACTCACATTTTTTTCTTTAAACCAGACTTAAGATTAAAAGTAAAGACAGCAGTAGACCGTGAAATGAAACTTTGGTTTAATTACAATAAAAGATTTACAGTACTAGGACTTCACTGTTAAGAGTTGGGAGTCTTTTTCTCTTTTTTTGTCGGTGCTGGAGCGCACAAGTAGGCCTCCACGACATTGGATGATAAATTTTCCCATTGGCCATTGCGATAATCGATAATATTGTTCTTTTGAAACCTTTTTAAAGTAACAGTAACGACGTAAAATGCCAGAAAACATTGTCAAAGATCACTAAACTTTAAATTCCCCTGAACATTTATCACCAGAACCGGAAGACATTTTAAATATCCAAAATAAACAACAGAGACGACATATAAAATGAAATATGAAATTTTTGTCAACAAAACTGCCCTTTGCAAAAGGGCAAGTTGAGACCAAAGCGCCAGACTGAAGACGTTTGTCATTCAGGTTTTAGTAGAAAGAGAGAAAAAAATTCATGCAAATGGAAATTATCGAGCTTTTAATTCATCATGCGATTCATTGATTTATTGCTTATTGCGTCAGGCCTAAGCACAACAAATTCAAACCAGACACAGAAATTGCAAACAGAAAAAAAAAAAAAGACAGAAGATAAAACACCCTTTGTTACGTTTTACAGTTTATAAAGGAGTTTTTCTCTTTGTTACTCTACTTTAAGATGAATCACAAAGCAACAGAAACGGTGCGCGCCCCCAACGGGCCCAGTGCCGCAAGTTCAAATAAACGGAAGAGAATATGCTTAAATAAACTTTCTTTGAAAATCAACAAAGGAGGATTTCTTTCTCTTTTTTTTTTTTGTTTGTTGAAAATTCGCAAAGCCTCCCGCGCCATATGGAGGAATGCTCTTTGCATTACAAGCACATAACAGGTCGCGTTTGCGCCGTTTGCGTCGCATGCTGCATAATGATGTATGTTCGCATCATGCTAGGCTACACCAGAGGCAGAATCCCACTGTGCTACAGATTAACAAAACAACACACACACACACACACACACACACACGCATACACACATAAAGAAACAGCCAAAAACCACTTAGGCTGTGCTCTCCGTGCTCCAGCGGCAAAGGCAACACCTGCTTATTGAGAACAATCGTCTAACTGTAGGGTACATTTTTATGGAAATGCTCTCGCTTCCCTTGAGAGAGCCTTGCTTAGGGATTACATCCACATGCTGGAGAAGCAGCGTGGCTCACAGGGCTCCCTGCGTCGAGAGCTGCGGTATTTAACACACACCGAACGAGGAGGGAGATGACGAAACGCAGCCTCCATTTTGGCTCTGAGCAATCACACACACACACACACATATAAAAGGGGTGTGGGGTGAAGGGAGGGATGGTGCGGCGGAATCACTGACTGACTTATTGACTGGCTTTGGTGATTGACTGTATGATTGAGCTCACACACACACACACACACATGTACGCATGCAGAAAATTGCCTGCAGTGTATGATATAGACAAGGCCGTGGAGATGCGGAGGAAACAGGCTGGAAGTGAGTAAGAGGGGAGCGGAGAGGTGGGAAAAGGGGAGGGCGGTATGTAAATCTGTGAAATCAGCGATAATTACAGTGAGTGCACAAAAAGCCACATCACAGTTGGCAGAGATGGTGCTAATCATCCTGACACAGTCTGCACCCAGACACCCGACTCGTGCATCCACACGTGCATATACGTGTGTGTCTGTGTGTGTGTGTGTATGAGTCATGGAGGATAAAAGAAAGCAGGAAACAATAGGCCTATGTGTGTGTGCGCGCACGCGCGTGTGTGTGTGTGTTACGTTGCACAACATGTTTGTGTCTGGGGTTCCTCTTAGCATTGGCAGGCAGTGAGGCTAACCTTTCTCTCATTTCATGGCTGTGAAACATGTATTATTTCCAAATAAACTGCCGCCTCCAGTGTAAACATGGTCTTTATCATTCCCAAAGCAGCCTAGAAAGAAAGGGGGATTATTTTATTTTTCAAGATTAAATTAACCTTTTGTTTCAAGGATAAACTTTAAAACTGTACCCTGGTATTTTCTTTCTTTTCTTTTTTTTTTTTTGGTACTATTTTAAATGTTTTTATGACATTTGAAGAAAATCTAAACCGAAGAATAAAATGAAAGCAAAATGTTCAGAAATACTGAGTTTCATAAAAATGTCACTTTGAAAAGCTACAGTAACAGTCGGTTATAATAGAATTAGAAACTATGACATCTTTGGACTGTTTTAGGAAATCATTTAAGCTGGTTAATCAAAGTTGCACTGATATTTTGAATCGTTTTTTAATTAAATGTTTTTATACTCTCTTTTTTTTGTTACGGTTGTGAGTTGTTTTTGTTTTTATTATGAATGCTTGCTGTAACCAACACTACTTTTAACCATACATTGAGCGCATATGCATGACCTATATGCATATCAACATATAGGTCATATATGTTGTTAACTGTATTTTTTTATTATTTATTTCTTCCATCAACCTGCTAGGAAATTAGATGAAAATTAGCCTCTCCGGCTAAACCTGGCATATTTACATGATGTATTCATGTTGACTAATATGTACTGTCCTCTTTAAAATAAATAAATAAATTGAAGCTAATATAATAACAATAACAATAAGACAGTGAGTAACAAATCTAACAACCAGAAAATACACAACAATAAAGGTAAAATAATATGAACATTTGGCAATTAGCATTTATTAAACAGACTTACAATTCCTTAAATATGTGGTTTGGAAAAGTTACATTTTTGGTAGGTTTGAAGCTATTTTTCACCATAAATATTCTTTAACTGTAATTGCGTTTGTAGGTTAAACATATAAACAGGCCGTTCCTGCAGCCATTGTTATCGTTTTATCATTATTACCTAAATAGGTCCATAATGTATAGACGTAAAAGAAACATTTCACACGGCGTGCAGCTGGTAAATTTGGATCTGTAACCCCGCTAATGGTCCACATCATGTTTTGACATTTCTCTTACAGATAATGAGGCTTTCAATTAAACGTCCCGCACACTTCGGGAAAATTAAAAGGTAATTTTACTGATTTATAATCCGTCATTTGTCTCCAATTTGTCTTTGTCTTGGCGAGTCCGTCTCGCCCACGGTGGTTCAGCAGGGACGGTGGCGCCACCAAGGGGTAGACCAACCCCCATGTGGTCCAACGGTCCTGTGTGCGTCTTTGGTTTATGACTGTGATTCTGTTTTTCAGTTTTAATGACTTGCAACTGTAAATTTTTAGAGAATTTTTTTTATCGCTCATTCATGATGTACTGAAAATAAAATCTCTGCGGATTCTGCTATAACTTGCAAGTTTGGGGTTGCCAACCCCGTGTCCCCCCCATCTGGCCCATTATAAACTTCCTAGAGACGCCCCTGCTTTACAAAAGCAACCTTCCAAACTTACATTGGAAACATGTAAAAATGACAATATTACCAGCCATTTGAATGTGATCAAACAAAGCTTACCAATTCAGACATTTCATCAATATTTGCTTTGAATAGGCCAAAAGCGGCTTCTGTCTAAACAAGATGAACAGGTGGGCAAAGAATGAAACGACGTTCGGCTGAACGCGGTTGTGTTTTGCTTAACTGGCCTCCATCTTTGTTTCTGCTCGGCAGGTTCAGTTTTTAACCGATTATTCTGGATTAAATAAAGACAAAGAGAACAATAATAAATAATCGGAGAAAAAGAGTCGATTTGACCTCCGGGGGTTCAAGGTTGCTACATTTGTGTCAGAGTCTCAATGCGGAGTCTAATTATAGTAAATCATCTGCTAATAATAATAATAATCTGAGTTTACCTGGATGACTCGCATGTTCAGCCCCGTCTCCTGCGCGAGCTGCTCCCGGATGTGGCGCGTGGGCTTCGGCGTGGCCACGAACGCCGCCTTTAACGTCTCCAGCTGCTTGGCCTTGATGGTGGTCCGGGGCCCCCGCCGCTTGGCCCCGGAGTTCTGCTCCTCGTTTTCAATATTGTTCGTTTCCTTATCTGAGGACGTGGAATTGTCCGTCTCCTTTATGTCGTCCTGTATCGGGTCCTGGAGATCCGGTGATAAACTCCTATCTGTGCACGACGAGACTGCAGGGCGGGAGGGGGGGGGACCCCCGGGGGGTCCCGGGTGGGTGGGGTGGAGTGGGGGTGGTGGGTGGAGGGGATGATGCGAACAAACAAGGAGGGAAGGTCACGATCCAAAATGTCAAGGAGGGAGGCAGAGAAAGGGGAGGGGAGGGGGGCGGTTTAATTTTAATTAGCCCAGGTGTTTAAAAAAAATTAAAGCAAGAAATCTGAATGTAAAATTTCAGCTAATGCTCATTTTGAACAAAATATTCTCTTTGACGCTTTTGTGACGAGAATAAGAAGCTGTTTCATTTCTCACCAAACACACTGAACAACAAACTAACTCGATAATATTCCATATGAAAATAACCGAGCAGCTTCAGCATGCAGGGTGGATGCTGCCCTTCCGTGTGTGTGTTTCTTTTTTTTTTAAAGGATGAATAGACAAGAAGAGGAGCAGCAACACTATTTCCCCCCCTCAGGCCCACCCATGCTGCACATATCCAGAAAGCTATTGTTCTGTTGTTTTGTTGTCCTGTTGTTTTGTTGTTCTGTTGTTTTGTTGTCCTGTTGTTTTGTTGTCCTGTTGTTTTGTTGTTCTGTGGAGGTAAATATTGAAACTATCCGTCCCACCAGGTTGTGTGGAAACGCTCTCCACGGACACCCAGCTTTGTTTATCCCCTTTATTTCTCTTGATTTATTTTGACTTTATTTCTCTCTCCTCGCCACTCAGACCTTAACGCGCAGGCTTGGAACGACTCTACTCCACACAAAAAAATAAAATAAAATAAACAAATAAAATTTACCTCCAATGAGCGCAGCTGGGCTGCTTATTATTATTAAAAATAATAATAATAATATCATTTTATGTTATTTATCTATTTTTGCGACGTGGCTCACCTGAGTTCAGGTTGACTTCCTTAATGGCCCCGGAGCTCAGGTAATCTTCTTTGCACACGAACTTGTTTTCGTCGATCACGTAGAGCTCCTCTCCCGTGGACAGCTGCTTGTTACACACCATGCAGGTGAAGCAGTTCAGGTGGAACACCTTGCTGCGCGCTTTACGCACCAAGTCGTTCGGCGAGATTCCCTGCAGACAGCCCGCGCATTTTGTGCCAAAGCGCCTGGACACACGGAAAGAAAAAAAAAATATTTATATATAGAATCAGATTCGAATCTTTTCTCACTATTAAATTCCTCTTTTTGTTATTTAAAGCATTGATTGTGTGTGTGTTTTTTTTTCCCAACATTTTGTGTGTATATCTAAAAATGTGTTTTATAAATCATTGTAACATTTTGTTCAGCGGATAGAAGAGAACGTTTCCATCTGGTGTGGCTGAAGACAAAAAAAGAACGTTCTAATGACGTGGTTTGAGTTCAACAGTGGACCAAACACAGCCTTGCTTTCACTTTTTTCCCCCTGATATCAGACATAAAATAATCTGTTTTCCCCAGCTAAAAATACATACATATATTTATATGAAAGGAAATGAAAGTTGAGAAAACGTCAGCGTAAAGACGCACGTGCACGTTGCTTTTAAGGTTGTTGGAATTGAGAAAAATGACTTTTTCTTTTTTTCTTTCTTTCTTTGTTTCTCTCTTTCTTTCTTTCTTTCTTTCTTTCTTTCTTTCTTCCTCTTGGTTAATAGGTGAAAGGTGAACACGCGTTGTGAAACCTTTCGATGTATTTATCTAGCTTCAAATTGGGACCCATATGGGATTAAAATAAATAAATAAACAACAACAACAAAAAAAATCTATATCCAATACATTTTTCTGGGCCAAATAAAGACAAAGACGGGCCGCCCTTCAGCAGAAAATGACGTCTTCCAGGTGAAGTGCATTATTTCATAAAGATGCAGCTTTTATTCCATTTATTATGAAATATATTTTTGTCTTTACGTTAAATATGAGGCCACAATAAACGCTTATTATAGGGCAATTAAAAAAAAAAAAAAACGTGATTAATATAAAATAAAATTAAACAGTTATTGTAATAAAAATATATTTAAAATATATGTTTATTGTTTTTGTTATTATTATTGCGAGCTGATTCATTCTCCCTCTGTGATAACAGCAGTAATAATAATACAGGGAGCTCATTTTGACGGAGGCGCTCTGACAATAACCCCACGCAGAAACGCATTAGTGACAATCAACACATTGTAGCCGCGGATATATTATGGGATTAAGCGGAGTGGGGGAGCATCTTAGCGTGGAAATCTTCTTCTAATCCATATTCAGCCGCCTAAACAGTGGGACGACTCATCAGCTTGATGCACAAATATAGCGCCGATAAATCTGATCCTGCAAATATAGGATGGGATGGAGACAAAAAAACAATAAAAAAAAATACAGTTTTGCTGTTGTTGCTTTTTGTTAATTGTCACGGAATTCCATTGACATTTGTGAAATTTGCAGCTGTTTGAGCCTTTGGAGTGAGAGCAAGCTGCCTGTATTGTGGAGCATTGTTTTATTTTGTTTGGTTTGGTTTGGTTTTTTTGTTTTTTTTTTTTTTTTTTTTTTACACCAATCTGAGTTTGTTTCCCCATTGCAATGGGATCGCTTCACCGTGCGCCTTTCACATGCATGGATCCCCCCTCCCCACTCCCTCTGCCCCCCGACTCTCCACAACAACAACAAAAAAGAAAAAAAAAGAAAAGGCCACAACACTACTTACACAACAAATGGACACATTAGGGTGATTACTGTTTCGCCCGGCTAATGGCTGGGCCATTTAAATCCAGCGCGCTTGATGGGGACCCGCAGTAATATGATGGCCAAGGCCGCGCGAGGGGCCAATAACAGCCCGGCCCCCCGACTCAAACATGGGGGGGGAAGGGGAGAGGGGTGACGCGACTTACATGTCATTAGACAATTTGGGAAGAGTAGGACAGTCACGTTGAAAATGACAATGATGCGACAAAAACAAGGACTTCACTTATATTATATTATATCACCCAATTACCTGGAACACCTTTTTTTTTCTTTTTTTTTTCAGTGGGGTTTTGGGAACCAGTTAATGGCCTGATGGATGTTTGGGAAGTGGCACCAGGAGCTGAGAGTGGACTTTAAAAAAAGAATTAATAATAATAGTAAAGCAACAAAGCAGTTTCCGCCTAAATAGAAAAAAAGGAGCATATTATTTATTTAAAGCTATTTTATCAATTGGCTTTATAAGCGAAACGTGACTGCACTCCTTATATTTGTTTTAGATTGAACTTCATTTAGTTTTATTGGACTTATTTTAGTTTTTATTAATAGGCCACGGTATTCATATATAATTTGTTTCTTTTATTGATTTGATTTTAGAGGTGAATTGTTTTATTCTGATCATCTTCAGTTCGAAACTGATTTGTTTTTGATCCAATATGATTGAGATTGCGATAACATTTTACGTTTGGGCCAGATTTTTTTTTATTTTGTTTTTTTTTGTTTTTTTTTCGCGTGCAATTTAACAACGTGACCCTTAACTATCTACGCCAAAAAAAGAAAAAAAGAAAGAAAAAGAAAAAGAACAAGAAAAAGGGAAGAAAAAAAAAGAAAAATCCTCCAAACAGATTCCAGTCTTTTGTCCGCGTTACCTGAAAAAGTCAATTTTGCAATAGAGCTTTCCGTCCCGGGAGAAGCACTTCTCGGTCAGGTTGCAGTTGCACTCGCAGCACTGGACGCACTTGGCGTGCCAGGCTCGGTCCAGCACGTGAGCAGGAACCGGTCCAGGATGGGCCGCTCGCAGCCGGCGCAGAGGACCATCATGTTGCCGGCCCGTGAGGCGCCGAGTGCCGACCTCCCCGCTGCACGGACTGCGCTGCTCGGACTGGGGCAAGTCCGCTCTACGCGGAACCACGTCTTGGCTCCCGGTTGGTGAGCTCTGCCGGGGTGAAAAGTGGAAGACTCTCCCCCAACCCTTTCAATCCACCAGAGGAAGAAAAGAAAAGAAAAAAGGAAAGAAGTCTTCCGGTCCTGAGTCCTGGGTCGGGATGCTGTCACCAATCCACAATCCAGGAGAAGAAGAGATTTCAGGGCTGCGTGATGCACAAACCAACCATATTTTCTTCTCTCTTCTGATCCTTTCAAACACCTAAAACACCATCTTTCATTATTAGTTTAGTTATTTTAAAAAATATATATATAATTAATTAAAATAATCTCCTCATCGCTCGCGCCTTGTTTTTAGTCCAGTAATTTCCTCCGGGCTCACCTCACGTTGCCACTTTCACATCACTGTGCCTGGGTTATCATGAGAGTGTTTTTTTTTTTTTTTCGCCTTGCGCGGAGCTGCATCCAGAGCTCAGATTGGACGAGGCCCCTGTTAATTCCTCGCATCAGACGAGCCAATCAGAGCGCAGTTGTCATGGTTACACGCTCATAGCTGTGTGTGTGTGTGTGTGTGTGTGTGTGTGTGTGTGTGTGTGTGTGTGTGTGTGTGTGTGTGTGTGTGTGTGTGTGTGTGTGTGTGTGTGTGTGCGTGCGTGTAAAGCCTCCGAGCCAGGACCCCGGAGCGCAGAAATACCTGGGCCCCGTTTGTGTTGACGCCGGTTCATGGAGACTTCACAGCTGAATTCATTCACTCTGGAGATTCATGGAAGCACAAATTAAACACACACACACACAAATGATATTAGAAGTTATCCAAAACAATGCTTTCTGATTCATACCCTCAGCGGCCTTGTGTGACAAGAGGAGGAGGAGAGGGAAGGGGGGGGGGGGGCTCGGGGCCTTTCTCATGCACGCAGCTATTTACAGGGAAATGCGATGGATTAACTGGAGCTTATCAATGGGGAGAGCCTGGGCACCTGGTGCGTTAACAGGGCGGCCCCAGCCGAGGGGAATTTCAATATTTACCAACAGGCTCGTTTTGTTAGTTGCAGTTAAGCAAACAAGCAAAGAGGCTAATTCGTGTAAGTGGACGCAGGAGAGGCTGGTTCTGCTCCGCCTTAACGGGGCCTTTATATCTACGGTCTCGTTTGAATGACTGCAGGTGTGAATTTTCACTCATTTTACACCACTGAGGTCATTGAGGACGGTAAGGAGAGTTAAATTGGGAAGATGTTAGCTTAAATACACGATGTTAGCTTAAATACTAAATAGCTACATAATGTTAGCTTTAATACACGATGTTAGCTTAAATACTAAATACATAATGTTAGCTTAAATACATGATGTTAGCTTAAATACTAAATAGCTAAATATTGTTAGATTAAATACACGATGTTAGCTTAAATACTAAATACACAATGTTAGCTTAAATACATGGTGTTAGCTTAAATACTAAATCTGCGATGTTAGCTGAAATACTAAATACATAATGTTAGCTTAAATACACGATGTTAGCTTAAATACTAAATACACAATGTTAGCTTCAATACATGATGTTAGCTTAAAAACTAAATCTGCGATGTTAGCTTAAATATACAATGTTATCTTAAATACGTGACAGAATGAAGATCTAAAAGCAAACAACACTGCCTTTTTCCCTTCAAACTATTGCTTTTCGTTCAAAACCTTTGTTCAAGTCAGTGTGTGATGTTTTTATTTTAAACTGGACATACGAGACATGAACAAATAAGAAAGCAAAATAAATTGGTAAAAGTTTTAAAAGGGAGTGAACAGATGAGAATCAATGTCAACCTTGGGGTTTGGGACACCAACTCGAAAAGGCTGAATTTCTGGGGTTTTATTTGTGGTGCAACTTTAAATGAAGGTCCAGAAATAAGAATTAAAAAAACTTTAATATTGACTGTCCAAAACAGTCTACAACTAAAATCAGCTAATTTGACAGGTTCCTATAGTAATATTCTTTCTCCTAAACTAATATTGACTTTATTCATTGGATTTTGGTTTTTGAGAAAGGACAAAAAGTGCAAAACAATAAACAAATAAATAAATATTCCAACTTTCAAATTGTTGTCCAGGACTGCCCAGGCAGTGGAGAGTCAACATAGGGACATTACCCCACTCCCGATCGGAGACAACCCGACTCTTAGTCTCATCCTTGATTTGCCATTGACTGGTCCAGGTCTGAGCTCATGTAACACAACAGGATTTTATTATGGTCAGCCCAAGAAATACACAAACTAAGATGCTTCTTAAGACCCCCAGGACAGCAGGGGGCCCCAAAGAGCTTTTGAACAGCATAGAAATATTTCAGAGAATGATAACAGCGTTCAGGTTTGTTGTTACATTTATCAGGAATGAGTCTACCTTGAAGATGACTCTAAATGTCTCTGAATATCAAACATTCAGAAAAAATTAAGTCCCTATTAAATATAAACCCAATATTATTGAGGAAATGCAAAGACAAATAAGTATTAGCCTACTGTTAGACCTCTTTTCATATTTTGTGTCTTCAAGTCTTATTAAACTCGCTTGTTGGTTTTAATGTTATAAACATGAAACAGTGTAAAAAATTGGTTGAAGCATTTAGTGACACCTGTATGATAAACCAAACAAGACCAGTGATGGACAAAATGCTCTGTTTCATTACTTGAGTCAAAGTACTGATCCTGCTGATTAAGCATTTCTCTAGTAAACTTTGTCAAATTATAACTTAAGTCAAAAATACCTAAAGTATTGAAAATACTTAAAAATCAGAAGTTTTTTTGATGCCATCTCACTGGAGTGTAATCAAGAATAATTGGGACAATTTTCTGCTATTTTGTACACATCCCAGCTCACCAATAATAATGCATTAATATTTTTTTTTTAGGTTTTCCTACATGTTCAAAGACACTGCACTATTTCATGTATTATTCATTCACTTTCCTGTAAAGCAACACCAGCAGGACTACAATGATTCTCTTTCTTGTAATCGATTTAAAGTTGCACATCGCCACCCAGGGGTGTTGGGTGTAATTTCACTGTCTGTGGTACAAAGTGGACAAATTGCACAAAGACCACAGAAATAACAAATAACAGAAACCGGAAGCAAAAGATAGTGAATTAAACAGAATGATTATATTGTTGAAAATTCAATGGAGGTTTCGAAAAAAAACAAATTCTACTCAAGTACAAGTTCTGCAGAAATAGGCCTCCATTGTCTTGGTTTGGGAGATCGGTGATCAGCCGATACTTGCGTGTGAAGCCGATCTTTTCCACCTATCTTAGTTCACTCGTCAACGACCAAGTTAATGTTTGACTGCTAGCCACGCCCACCGGGTCTCTTCCGCCAACTCAGCGACTTCCTTGCGATATTTAGCAACAACCTGCGCAGAAAAACCAATAGGTATCGAATCGCCAGATCGGGCTTTTTAAAAGACCGGTCAGAGAACTGCAACCGGTGCACCGCGATTAAAATATGTACTCAGTACAGTATTTGATTAAATTAACATTACTGCGCACTTTTTTTTTTTTTTTTTTAGTTTAGTTTTCGTTTTTCTGTCTGTTCTTGTAACTTTAACTGTGAAACAAGAATCTTCGCCATATGCGATGCAAAGTGTCAGAATGTCGTCGACAATTAGTTGTTTTGTTGCAATTTTAAAACTTCGCTAATGCTTACAAAAGAAACAAACAAACAAACAAACAAACAAAAATAAGATTGAAACCTTTCCCCATTAAAGGAGGAAAACGAAAAGAAATGGGAAAGAAAAAGCACATTTGAATGCAGCTACATAGCATGGTTGTTGCAAAGGAATACAAATAAATAAATAAATACAAAATCCCAGTTTGCTGCATGCCGCTTTTGTTGCGCTGCGCCGCAGCCTCACCTGCGGAGAAGAATGAGGAAGCTGTCCGTGGTGCTGAAGGCAGAGAGCACCAAGGACAGCAACAGGCTTTCTTCTTTTCACTGGAAAAACCACGCGCGCATGCACGTACGCGCACGCGCGCCGTTTACACTCCTTCCGTTTCGCAAACTCCGGTTCTGTTCTGTAAACACTGCGCGCGTGCGCTACTCAATGGGATTTTATGTTTACATCGCCATAAAATCCACCCAAAAAATAAAAAATGACTGTAAATAATCTTATTTTTTTCTTTTTTCCATGGAGTCCCTCATCCAGCAGTTGGACACAAACATCTTTGAGACAATAAGACGGACAAGAGGTCAGTCAGTGTCTTTCTGTAAAAACGTAAACGGTCTTAAAATTCCAACGCGACGCTCCATTAGAACTTATGTGTATTTAATGTAATCACATTCAAAGCTTAAAAATGTGATCTTTTATCAACACACACACACACACTCTCTCTCTCTCTCTCTCTCTGTGTGTGTGTGTGTGTGTGTGTGTGTGTGTGTGTGTGCGTGCGTGCGTGTGTGTGTGTGTCTGAAGAAGGCTCCAGTCAGCATTGACTGCTGCAGGATGGTTTGCATCCATTCAGAAAACACACACCTGAAACCCATGGAGCCCCGCAGAGCCCACCAGAGGATCCCGCTCCTCCAGTTCATAACGTTTTTCATTTAGTTGTTTGCGAGTTTGATCACAAAGAAGAGCAACTTTGATAGTCCGCTGGTATGTGAATATTTGTGTGCGTGTTTTTTATTCATTTATTTAATTTTTTTCATACCCAAGGACCAACATCTGAAGTGGCTTAAGAAGAATTTCTTTTCTCCGTCGTCAAGTGTTTGTTCATAAAAGGTTTGCATTGCAGCATCTGTGGCAGGAAGTGTTTTTTTTTCTCTCTCTCTCTCCCTTCTTTAATTTACAGTGATGTGCAGCAAAGGAAAGTGGAAATCTCAACGTCGTTGCGAGTTGAATCCTTGCTTCTTCTTCTTTTTCTTTGTTTTAATGGTTTAGTGAATTCATCAGGTGCATGGAAATGCAAAGGTGAATGTTTGTGATAATCAGACGAGTTAACACCCACTCCTGTCACTGGGAACTGGAAGGGAATCTGTAGTGGTGGAGGAGAAGAAGAAGAAGAAGAGGAAAAGAGTAAGATGAAATAAATAAATAGTTAAATAAATGAGATACAATATCCAAAGAAAAAAAGTGGTTTCTCTGCCAGGACACCTGAGCACACCGGTTCTACCCCCCCATCCCACCACCACCACTAACAAAACCTCGTTCCAACCCCAAAGGCACACACACACACACACACACACACACACACACACACACACACACACACACACACACACACACACACACACACACACACACACCTTAGACCACCTCCAGGTGGGAGAGGAGAGGAGG